GAAGCTTTAAATATGCTGAGAAATCATTTATGGAACATCTAAAACGAACAAATAATGAAAAGTCTTTATACGATCTGATATCAAACGTCTCCGAAAAATAGATATAGGATTGTAGAATTTGTAGGCTAGTCTCACCAAGATGCACGAATCAAGGACGTGATACAGTTCCGGTCAGAACATCGTCAACTGGAAAGTGAATTAATAAGTATAGACTAATTTGTACACATATAAATCATTTAGTTAACATTCTGACCTGTTTTAAACCCTCAAGAGCGGCATTAACGTGGTTGCTTATGGAGGGTTTTTAATGTTTTTATGATTTAAAGCAAAAGATAGTTATGCAATTAAAGACAAAAATGTCACTTAATTAAGGTCCAGAACAAACATCTCTAGTGAAACATGTGTTGGTCCTTGCTTGCGTCTGTTTCTCTCTTCTTCAACGACTCCGCGTCTCGCTCTCTATTCTTGAGGACTCCGCCTCTCTCTCGTCGACTGTGATCTCTCCTCGACATAATCAGTAGATGATCTCTCCTGGATGGAATCACTTGGCGTTTCTCTCGACGAATCCTCGTCTCTCTCGCTCTCCTTAATGACTCCATGTCTCTCTCTCTCTATCCTCGATGACCCCACCTCTCTCTCGTAATCTCTCCTCGACGATGATCTCTCCTTGACGATGATCTCTCCTCAACTAAATCAGTCGATGATCTCTCCTCACTGGAATCAGTCGGCGTCTCTCTCAACGACTCCGCCTCTCTATCTTGATCTCTCATTGACGATGAATCTCCCGATGTCTCTCTCTACGCCCCGTGGCTCCCCTCGATGATATCAAATCGGAAGGTTAAGCTATGTATTTGTCCTTTTATCTCTGAATCCTTCTTAGTTATTTTTATTTGTTTGTTGGGTTTGTTTCTGCCTCTTGATTTTGTCTCTTATGTTTGTTTATGTCTCGTGACTAATATATTGATCACATCTGAATATTTTTCATTTGTTTGTCTTTGTTTTCTAAGATGGACGGATCAAGAGACATGAAGGTTCGTCAAAGACAAGGACTACAAATGCAAAATAGGTAAAACACATATCTTTGATAGATGTTTTAGGATTCTGGTCTGAAAAGAATTGATTGTGAATCTCGGCTGAAATCAATTGATTGTGAATCTAGTTGTGTTAGGTAATAAATTGATGTAATTTTTTTGATAGAAATCAATGGTTAAGTGTGATTAATGTGGTAGCTATATGTCTACTCGAAGTAGTTGAGTGTGATGAATGTGTTTTGTTATGGTTATCAAACGTTCTTTTCTTTCTCTCTTCTATAAAACCCTTGTCTTCTTCTTTCACACAAGATCAAACAGCAATCCTTCTTCTTTTCCATTTATCAAACACTCCTTCCTTTCTTTCTTTTTTTATCATATATTCCATATCTCTTCTTAGAGATATTAAGATATGGATTCTAATTCATATCTTAATTTTGTTGATCTTCTTCAAAGTTAACAAGAGCATGGCATCGGTTTAGAATCTTCTCGTATTCATGTATTTGGCAGTCAAGCCACTTAAGGTTCAAACTTTGAAGAAGCCACTCATGCCTAGTGTAAAAAATGAAGGGCATGGACGCCAACAGATGATGTAGTGATCATCAGCTTGTGGTTAAACACGCGCAAAAATATCGTTGTAGGGAATGAGCAAAAGTCTGTTGCTTTCTGGAAAAGAATTACAGCGTACTTTTCGGCTAGTCCTAAGCTTGTTGGCTGTAAAAAAGGAGAGGTATCTCACTGTAAGTAACTTTGGCACAAGATCAATGACTTAGTTTGCAAGTTTTGTGGAGCGTATGAAACGGCAACCAGATAGAAAAGCGGTGGTCAAAATGAGTATGATGTTCTCAAACTAGTTCACTAAATCTTCTTCAACAACCACAATAAGAAATTCACCCTTGAACATGTTTGGAAGGAGCTTCACAATGACCAGAAGTGGTGTGACCTTGCTATGGCTAAAAATGAAGGAAGTTATAAAAGGTGGAAGTGTGATGACTGTTCATAGTGAAAAACCTCTCAAGCAAATGATACTGATACTGCTGTAGAAGATTATTGTCCCATGGGTGTTAAGGAAACAAAAGCCCGTGGTAAGAAGACAATCGTAGAGGGAAGGATCTTTCTGAGTTTCAGAGTATGTGGAGGAGCATCAAGAAGCAGGATTTTGCTATGAAAGAAAGGCTGTCAAAGTTGAAACTACTCGACTCTAATTGCTAAACAAGAACCCTTTGCAGATTATGAGGAAGCTCTGAAGAAGAAGCTTATTAATGAGTTGTTGTCTAATTAGTTTAAGTCTAATTCCAGCAGCTGAAGTTTCTTTGTTTGTTGGTTGTTGTATTAGATGTTATTGTCATGGAGTTATTGTTGCGGTTATATTTCATGTTCTTGTTGTATTAGAAGTTATTGTTGCTATAAACGCTGTATTGTTCTCCTGTTCTTGTTTTGTTAGAAGTTATTGTTGTTATAAACGCTATCTTGTTTTCATGATCTTGTGTTAATTGTTCTCCCCATTATTTTCAGGTCAAAAAGAGTGAAAGCGTGTAGCATTTGGAGTGAAAGAATGACGGACTAGCTCATTGTAGTCATGTCTTTGTGTAAAGTAATGCAAAGTGTCATGTTTGTAGTCAGGCCTTACTAAGACACGAAATACCTCATTGTCATCATTTATGAGCTTTTGTTTTATTGTCTGAATAGAACTTTTGTATTCTTGTGTATTATCAGTCACATACTTGTGTGATGTCATGGAAGTGTGGTGTTTCAATTCAAAGTCCACAGAACACTTGTATTCTTGTATATTATCAGTCACTTGTATTCTTGTATTATTAGTCATGGACTTGTGTTAAAGTTTCTATATAACTTCACGACACTTTTGTGCTTTCTTTAATCACAAAATGAATCTCTCTCTCAAAACTTCAAAGTTCATATAAAGTTTCATAATCTCTTTTTATTCAAAGTCCATACCAAGTAACTTCACAACATAAGATTCATAATCTTTTTCTATTCAAAGTTCATATAAAGTTTCACAAGACTCTTGTTCTCTCTTTAATCACCATTCACTCTTTTTATTCCCAACACCAAATTTTATTCACAACACTCTTTTTCTTTCTTTTTATGAAAATCTAAAACAATTGCTACACATATATGTAACACTTTTGAAAGATCAATTGATGATACTTTTGATCAATATTTTGACCAACATTTTGATCAAATGTTCGAGAATTTTTACATTGATTATGGTGATCAAGAAGAAGAAAGGAAAAAAGGAAAAAAAAAAATTTATACCAAAGATTCGTGGAGAAGGCAATGTACATTTATGGAATGATTATTTCAGTGAAATTCCAACGTATCCTGAAAATTTTTCCCAACGATGTTTTAGAATGAACAAGTCATTATTCATGCACATTGTTGATCGACTCTCCAACGAAGTTTAATTATTTCGCCAAAAGAAAGATGGTCTTGGAAGGCTTGATTTCTCTACACTCCAAAAGTGTATAGCAATTATTCGTGTCTTGGCATATGGTATTGTGGTTGATACGCTCGACGAATACCTCTGGTTCGGTGAAACTACAACTCGGTCATGTTTGAAAAATTTGTTTGAATAATATATATATTCGGCGATGAGTACCTAAGAAGACCAACACCAGCTGATCTTCAACGTCTACTTAATGTTGGAGAGCATACTAGATTTCCCGGGATGATAGTAAGCATCGATTGTATGCATTGGGAGTGGAAGAATTGTCTCACCCCTTGGAAAAGGCAATATTCTCGTTGTTTGGATAAACCAACAATCGTTTCAGAGACAGTTGCTTCATATGATCTCTTGAAGGGCATATTTTTTTTGGACTTCCAGATACCTTAAATGATATCAATGTTCTTGATCGCTCACATGTTTTTGATATATAATAAAAGGTCAAGTTTTGCAAGTGACTTACTCTCTCTATGGAATATATTATCATTTGGCTTACTGTTTCACCGATGGTATTTATCCGAAATGGAGAACTTTTATCTAATATATTCCAATACCACAAGGGTTGAAAGCAGTTTTATTTCCTCGACATCAAGAAAATGTTCAAAAATATGTCGAGTGTGCTTTGGAGTCTTGGAAGCTCGTTTTGCCATTATTAAAAATCCAGTAATTTTTTGGGATAAAGTCAAAATTGGGAAGGTTATGAGAGTATGTATCATACTCCATAATATGATAGTAGAAGATGAACGAGATAGATACACTCAGTTTGATATTTCAGAGTTCTTACAAGGAAAAGACAACAGAAGTTCACATGTGGATCTCACGTATTCTACAGATATCCCTATAAATATCACCAATATGACGAGTGTTCGAACTTGAATTCGTGATAGACAAATGTATCAACAACTGAAAACTGATTTGGTTGAACATATATGGCAAAATTTGAAAGTGATGAAGACAACAACTAAGCTCGGACACTTCTTTCAAATTATTCTCTATTATTTTATTCATTTTGGTGATGATGTTTTTTTACTTTAAAAGTTATGTTTTAAATTACCTTTTAATATATTTTTAAATAAATAAATTTTATCTTTGATAATACAATGTTTGATAATTTTTTAAATTTTTAATTAAAACATTAGTATTAGAACACAAAATCTAAGTGTTTCTTAACTAAAGTTTTTGTCAGTATTTAATTATTAAAATAATTATTAAAAGACTTTAATGGAATTTGTGGTTAATCCTGCTCTAAAAGACCGACTCAGAAAACAATGTCTCAGATTATAAGGTAAAACTTTATTTTTTGTGTTTTTAGCATCTCTCGAATAAATAAAAAACCCATCATGACTTATGTGAGTGCAGACGAGGAGAATAGTTTGAAAAGACATGTGTAAATGGGATCATGTTCGAAGATTGCCACCTAAGTTTCACATCACATGTTCTTAACTAAGTTCATTATAGATCACAGTTATATCTTCAGCACACCGCCTTTTGTAAAGGGTCCCACTTGTCAATTTACGTTAAACTGGTGGTATAAATGCGTGGGTAGGTCGTCGTCTTCTTTCTGGCCTAGCCAAGGATCTCTCTCTTTCTTCTTTCATAAACAACATCACACATCACTCACCTCTACTCCTCAGTCAGATATCTTTAAACAAATATTTTAGAGAGTGAGAGACGGACCTTGTTTCATCTCCACGATTTCACCAGAGATGATGAAGTTACGACGAGGAGTAGTTTCATCGACCTTCTCCCTCTTACTGACCCTCTCTCTGTGTTGTGCCGAAAAAGAGGATTTTTCTACTACAGGGTATGTTCAATTAGAGTGCTTGAGAGTACCGTCGTCGGAGTTCGCCGGAGCGGTCAAAACCGCCGTCGACTTAGTCAGAAAAGCCGGAGTTTTTGTGTCGAAATTTGACAAGAAATTTGGGAACTCACGAATGGCCCATGCGATTCTTGATTGCATTGATCTTCTTGATTCAGCCTCTGAGGAGCTTTCTTGGATTATCTCTGCCTCTCAGAACCCCAACGGTATCAAACTCTTACATCTTTTTTTCTTCTCCAATTTTTCCATGCAAAATTGTGTGTTCCAAATAGTCATCTCTAAAATAATCTAAATCACTAGTAACTTACAATGTAAACATGATTCCAATGTATTCATAAAACGTTGGTTAAACCTACCAAGTAAATTACAGTTCACGTGGGGTTCAAATTGTATAGTTTTTTGTTGGTAAAATATATATAAAATGCATATATATGCATTAAATATAAATTTTAAGGTTATTTGCAATCGATTTATAACTTTATATTCCCTCCGTTTTGTTTATAAGCCATTTTGACTTTTCTTAATCTAAATATGTATCTCTTTAATTAATTTAAATCTTAAGCATTTTATAAATCCCAGGTAAAAAAAACAAACGAAATAATAATAAATTTGAAAATCAATATTTATATAAGCAATAACCAAAATGAAAAAGACACAAAAAAAAATATTGAAGATAGATATGGTTGACACGTGAACATACATTTCTCATAATCATAATTAATTTTTAAATTTTTAAATTATAATATAAAACCGAGTTGACATAGTTTCATTGTAACAAAATAGATCCGAGATTTTTTGTCTAAACGTTAGGTTCTTTCCGGTAAGTGATATTTTGACCTAAAACATTTTAACAAAAGAGATCAGCTCATCAATAAACAAATTATATAATTAACAAAAAATTAAAAAGAATTGTTTAAAGATCAAAATATTAATTCAATCAGTAATAAAGATTTATTTTTAAGTTATTCTTATATAAATTTATCCTACATAATGCGCATGACTTATCCTACTCAATAATTAATTACGATGTCGTTATGTAAATATACTTTATTAGCCCACTCACATGATATGTTTTTCCAATTATCTTGAGTTTTCGGGATAGGAAAAGACTACACACTATTTGACAAAGAAAAAAAAAGACTACACAATATATCAAAGTTAAGTCTACCATAACATAAGTTCAAAAAAAGGTTTACCAAAACACAGATCAAAGTTAACCAAAAATAAAACTTAAATCAAACTGTAATGAAAGATTCCGTTTAGTCAAAAAAAGTGAGAGAGATTCCCTGGAGTTAAAAAAAAAAAAAGATTCTGAGTTTTAATCATATATTGTACTAAAAAAATCATACATTGTATGCATCAGCATCATGATGAATTCCGATCGTTGCGCGCTAGTGTCCTTGCTTTTCTATTTCTTTGATTTTTTTATGATTTTTATGTTTTACTGGAGCTCAAAACTTTAATTCTTCTTTTGTAAATATTTATTTCTTCAAAATAGTGAGATTTTATCAATTAGTCGTGACAAAGTAGAAAATTCTGTTAACTTGATGGTGCTATAAAACTTTAAACTGGGGAATGTCCATGCATATGGTGAAAATAATCGCCGATTTAAATGCTAGAAGAAAATCTATTAATTATTTGTGAACAAGAAAAAAAAAATGCATTACTTATGTTTCAAAGTATTAAAATCTTAAATTATGCTCTATTATATGCCTAAAAGGCTTAAACCCGAAAAAATGTCTAATGCATTCTCTCGTACGTTGCTTTTCTTTGTTCTGTTTTTTTTTTGTTTATCGGATGTACACAAAGGAAACAGACGGTAAATGCTAGAAGAAAATCTATCAATTATTTGTGAACAAGAAAAAAAAAATGCATTAGTTATGTTTCGAAGTATTAAAATCATAAATTATGCTCTAATATATGCCTAAAAGGCTTAAACCCGAAACAATTCAAGATTTTTTATGTTCATAGAACTCAGAACGACGCTTCTGATTCTCTAGCTAAGGTAACTAGGTCTTTTTATCGTAAGCTTATGTACGTTGGTTGTTCTATTCCGGTCTGGTTACCTAGACCACCTCAAATTATTTGAGTAATAGATCAACCGTTTGATGTCAAAAAAAAAAGGCTTAAACCCCAAACAATGTCTAATGCATTCTCTCGTACGTTGCTTTTCTTTGTTTTGTTTTTTTTTTGTTTATCGGATGTACACAAAGGAAACAGACGGTACAAAGATAATTATATTATGTACAAATCCATATTCTAATGAAAAGTCTAACATATTTTCATACGTTGTTGTTTTTTGTATAATACACAACAAAAGAACTGGGCGTTGTTAGAGAAAAAAAAAATTTATTATTATATTATTAAATGATTATTTTGTGTTTGACAAAAAGAAAACGATTTATTTTTCGTGAATCATAAATCTAGTACATGCATAATCAATATGGACTGTCACTGTTAGGTAAAGACAATAGTACAGGAGACATGGCTTCGGATCTAAGGACATGGATAAGCGCCGCTCTTTCTAACCATGAAACCTGTCTAGATGGGTTCGAGGGCACTAATGGAGTTATCAAAAAAGTTGTGGCCGGTGGTCTAAGCCAAGTCGGTAAAACCATCCGAAATCTACTTATGATGGTCCATTTTTCCTCCAAACCCAAACCAACGCCCAATAAAGCCCACAAGAAAAGCACCGCTCATAGTGGCTTCAGTAAGTTTCCCTCATGGGTTAGACCCGGTGATCGGAGGTTGCTACAGACCGATGGCTTATCAACATCGGCAGATGTAGTTGTCGCATCAGATGGGACAGGGAACTTCACGACCATAAGCGAGGCAGTGTTGGCTGCACCTGACTACAGTACAAAAAGATATGTGATACATGTGAAAAGAGGTGTTTATGCGGAGAATGTAGAGATTAAGAAGAAGAAATGGAACATTATGATGGTCGGTGACGGCATTGATGCCACCGTGATCACTGGTAACCGAAGTTTCATCGATGGTTGGACTACGTTCCGTTCTGCTACTTTCGGTAAGTACTGACATATGAAACATTTTTATTCACAATACTATTCTATTTTTGTTAACATTTTTCTTTATTACTAACGAAGATTTTCATTTGGTTATAAAAAACATTTGGCAGCTGTTAGTGGAAGAGGATTTATCGCACAGAACATAACGTTTCAAAACACAGCAGGGCCGGAAAAACATCAAGCAGTTGCAATCCGGTCGGACTCGGATCTGGGAGTTTTCTATCGATGTGCGATGAGAGGTTATCAAGACACTCTCTACGCCCACACAATGCGTCAATTCTTTAGAGAATGCATTATAACGGGCACCGTAGATTTCATGTTTGGAGACGCTACAGCTGTATTTCAAGACTGCCAAATCAGAGCAAAACAAGGCCTACCAAACCAGAAGAACAGCATCACGGCTCAAGGACGTAAAGATCCTAACCAGCCAACCGGATTCATGATCCAGTTCAGTAACATAACAGCTGATACAGACCTACTTCCTAACTTAAATACCACTGCTACTTACTTGGGTCGGCCATGGAAACTATATTCTAGAACAGTGTTCATGCAAAACTACGTGAGTGATGTACTCAAGCCTGAAGGATGGCTCGAATGGAACGGCGATTTCGCACTGGACACGTTGTACTATGCCGAATATATGAACAGCGGGCCGGGGGCTAGCCTTGACCGTCGTGTTAAGTGGCCAGGATATCATCTGCTGAATACTTCGGCAGAAGCTATTAATTTTACGGTGGCCCAATTCATACAAGGAAACTTATGGTTACCTGCAACTGGTATCAAATACACTGCTGGTCTAGCTTCGTAAATAAATCATGTTTGATATAATTTTTCATATAGTGTGTTAAAAAAAAAAATCTTTCATATAGATGTTTTATGATATTTCCATTATATTTATTCTATATATGGCTTTAGTAAACGTTGAACTACATGTTCTGTAAGGTTAATATGTATTTAAAGATATATACTATGGGAAATAAAGCTGATTTTCTTCTTTTGAAATGTAGAAATTATATAAATCAAACCCAAAACAAAAAAACCGACCCGTTATGTCTTCTCCTTCACCCGTCTTTGCAACCAGCCAGCCGTAGTCTCTGTTTTTTTTAGACAGACCAAAGTCTCCGCTAAATAAACGTTATATCATGTGAACTTGTCTCTGTTTATAACATTATATCATGTCTTTTCTTGTTCCGGAGCTTTCCTCCACTTTGGCTACTTCTCTGCCTTATCATTGTCGTTGGCCGAGAGAGCTATCTCCTCAAACAATTCCGACAATGACATGTCGATCTCAGCGAATCTGCCATTTGCCTTGTCAACGGTCTTGTGACCAGGTATAGATCCAAGAAAGCGTGTAACGACCCGTTCCCGGAATAGTTTTACTTTTAATAAAATATGTATCTGGAAAGAGGTTCTTTGTAAGGAAATTTACATTGTTGTAAGTGTTGGAACTTTTGTTTTGTTTCTATGGAATAATATTGATTTTCTAAGTATCAAGGTCACTACTATCAAGCATTGATAACTTAGAGTAAATGATACGTGCTCAAATTAACATATGGAGCAACTTACTCTCTCAAATAAGAGATATATTGTAATACTTAGGGATCGAATCCACAAGGAGCTATGAAACCTATTAAATCTAATCAAACAACAAAACTAGGTGAACATAAATAGTAAATCACATTAAGCAAATATGAGTCTTGAACTTAAATGGAAAGGTGTTAGACTTAGGGCTTTTATTCTGGTGTTGGAGATTATAATCTTATAGGTGCTATCTAGTTGTTTGCATGGCATTAAAGAGAATTAACTATCTTAAAAACATATTTACTAAACTTTCATTTAATAAGTAAGTTTATTGACTAGAATGTTGTTGACCAAGACAAGAATGTTCGATCAATGACAGTGTCGATTGATTATTCTATAGGAATATCGATCGATTCACTTTACTCGACATCGATCGATATTCCAATGGGAATATCGACCTATGCGGCTAGTCAAGCGTTACACGCGAGTTAACAATCACTCACTATGGATCCCTAGATCAAACTTTTGCTCTATCTCTAGTAAAATATTAGCTTAATCAGGATGTATTCAAGACTATCAGAGTTATTCAAGGATGTTTAAACAACCTAATAATCATAGATTCAGGTTTCTAGTTAGCAAGTCTAAAACATAAGCATTTAGAACATCTTATTAATGAATACCATAACAAGCGATCCTATAGTTGGGGCTAATCCCACTAACCTATTTAAGCCCTAATTCTAACAAGTGAATTACTCAGACATGGCTAAGCAATTCATAACACAAACAAAGTAATAAAACTGCATAGTATTAGATAGATAGAAAACAATGGAGTTCCAATCACAAATCTCTCTGTTGATCTTCTCTCCCAAACTATAAATCCTAAAACATTTTTCTGTAAAAAGAACACAAAAAACTCTCTCTGCCTTTAACACTTTGGCATAGTATATAAACTTAGGTTAAAACTCGCCAGGGGTAAAATCATCATTTGGTGATGTTTGGACTTCAAGTCGGCTGTCTCGTGAATTTGTCTTCCGCGCCTTTGGCGTCGATCAATCATGCTAAGTGCATGTCGATCGACGTGAGTCACTCCATGTCGACCTCGATCGTGTTGGTCGATTCCAAATCAAGTGATTTCTCCAATTCTCTACAAGATGCTCCAAAACATCAATTTATTCCAAAATACTCCAGAACCTATAAATATACTTAAAAGGTTCTATAATATAATAAATAGTAGTAAACACACCAATATACGATGACTAAAAACGAGTCAAAATTATTTTATATCAAACTCCCGTAGACTTACCCTTTTGCTTGTCCTCAAGCAAAACAAACATACAGTCTCTTTGAAAGAGGTTTGAAAAGAATATGGACTCACATATTTAAAAATTGTACCGAAGGTACTTTTCAGAACCATATCTACGATGGAAAATGAACCATATCTACAATATCTAATGAATCATATCCTGCGTCACCGAAGGAAAATTGTACCGAAGGTCCTTTTCAGGACCATATCTACGATGTCTCACCCCCAGAGAAGTGGCCAGGATCTTAGAGAAGCTTTACGAGGGAGAATGCGGCTCTCACTCCAGTGGACGAAGCCTAGTGCTCAGAGCCAAAAGAGCTGGTTACTACTGGCCTACGATGGCTAATGACGCTCTCCGACATGCCAAACCCTGCGACCAATGCTTAAGGCACGCGCCGATCTCCAACCTCCCTCCAGAGAACTTGTAGTCCTTAAGCTCCCCTGGCCCTTCCGGAAATGGGGGATGGACATCGTTGGGAAATTCCCAATGGCACTGGGGTAGAAAGTGTTCATTCTAGTGATAACCGACTACTTCACGAAGTGGGTGGAAGCTGAGGCCCTAGCTACGATCACCACAGAGCAGATAAGGAAGTTCATATGGACACATGTGATAACCCGCTTTGGAACTCCCCAGGAGATTGTCACAGACAACGGGCCTTAGTTCACAAGCCACGACTTCAGAGAGTTCTGCCGAGAATGGAACATAAAGCTCTCTTTCTCCGCATCACGGCACCCATAGTCAAACGACTACGCCGAATCTCAACAAACAAGACCGTGGTGAATATGATTAAGAAACACCTGGAAAAAGCCCATGGGCGCTGGGCAGAAGAGTTACACGGAGTCCTTTGGGCTTATCAAACTACCCCGAAAACAGCTACGCATGAAACTCCATTCTCATTGGTCTACGGCATGGAATCCTTGATACTGACAAAAGTACACGTCAGAACCACAGTGTCCGGACCTGTATTGCAGGAAGAGAACAATGAGTTGTTGACCCTAAGCCTGGATCTACTCGACGAAAAAAGAGAAGCGGCACGCCCAAGGAACATTTCCTATCAACAAAAGTGCAAGAAGCTACAATAAAAAGGTTAGGACCAGAACCTTCCAGCAAGGAGACTGGATCCTGTAACGAGTTTGTGACCATACGAAAGACAAATCTGCAGGGAAACTGGCCCCCTAATGGGAAGGTCCCTACAAAATAATTGGAGTGCAGGGGGCAAGAGCCTACAAGCTGCAAGACAGCAATGAGAAGGTCCAACCTAACTGCTGGAATACTTTGCACCTCAAACTATATCAATTCTAATACGATCTCCGGATCGGGTTTTCAATAGATACCTAGCTATCTATATATTTTAAGTACACTGGTTTCCTACTCCTATGTATGCTAAAAGCGTCTCTGGACTAAGCTTATATAGTATATTTTAGTTCCGACTAAAGGAGTCACAAGAACTCCACTGAACTTAAAAGGAGCATACTAGCTGGATCAGGTCCCAAGAGACACTTCGATCCTGGTGAACCCTATATATCTGTGATATGACTCACATATAAGAAAATCATTTGGTTGTACGACATACTGGAACGGGCCTGATCAACCCTAATACATTGTCAAAAACACCTCAGTCCCTGTGTAGAGGCCCTGAGCCGAAAACCCACACAGGGACGACACATACTAGTGCACCAATTCCTGCATTGAAAACGTCCCGAGCTAAAAACGATGCAGGGCGGCATGATGTATAACTGCAGAGTACTGAGATCAGCACCATGTTCTCAGGAAGCAGGCGGTGCACAAAACCCTGGGAGCACTTCTATCCTACTCATCCAGATGTGGAAAGTAGCAAGTCTGGTATGTGGATGACTACTTCCAAGTAGACCCACCTCACCACAAACATCTAAGACTGAGAGTGGCTTCCTGCAGAAAACATAGTACAGCATTACATGATCTCGATAGTGGCCTACTTCCGATTGGTAGAATGCGAATCCTTACCCGAGATCGGTAGTGGCCTACCTAAGGGGGGCAGAATACGACCTCGATGAAAGTAACCTCCGGGTTCCAGATGTTGAAAATTCTGAATTTTCCATTTCATGACTCCTTGCCTCTGGGTCTAGGTCAAAAATCTTAAAATCTACTTAGCAACCTCAGGGTTCTGAGTAAATTATTTATACTTCGAGAAATACCCCCGAGTCCCAAACAGTCAACTTGGATCTATGGATTCTAATATTAAACCTCAGGGTTAAATTATGAACTTCCGAGTGTTTAAAATTCTGAATTTTGCACCTCACAATCCTTACCTCCGGGCCTAGCTAACACCCTCAAGGTTTAATGAGAACCTCCAGGTTGAACATAAGACCCTCAGGCCCAACTCAAATCTCTGAGTTCAGATAACAAACCTGCTGATTTAGAACTACGAGCTTCCGAGTTCTAAGTGTTAAAATTTCTGAATTATTACGCTTCCTGTTCTTCTGTCTCTGTGTTTGAAAAGAGGAGATCAGGGCCTAAACAGAGATCTCAGGGTCCAAGCAGGATCTCTGAACCCTTCGAGACCTCTGGGTCCTAAGTGTTGAATAATCCAAGTTTTACATTTCCTTTCTATCTCCGAATTCTAAATTCATACTAATATGTTTCCAGGGGCAAACTTCTAGGTGTCCGTTCTTAGACCCAAGTGTCGATCCTTACAAAGACAGCTGCGCAAGGATCAGTGTCTTAAGACATATTTGAGTCCTCTAAAGGCCTCCAATTTTCATCGCCCCTCAGCTCTCAAAGAAGGATCCGAGAACCCTTTTGTCAAACCACTCAACCGCTCGTAAGGAGAAGGCGGGAAAATATGCCAAGTTATAAGAATCAAGCACAAGGTTTTTTGAAGAAAAACCTGGGAAATATTATAAATGGCTGCTAAAAATCTTCACTTCGCGACGAAAAGCATCGACGAAGGGTATATAGTAATAAGAAATGAAAAGAAAAAGGCGAAAACAAAAAAATTCAAGCCTAACACCCTCCTGGAAAAGGCGCCCGAGAAATTCCCTCTGTCCAGTTCTCTCCTCCTCCTCCCAGAGATAACAGTCGATGATATTCCTCGGCGAGATCCCAACGGCTAGTGCTCCTCTCTGATAATTCCTTCATAAGCTCCCAGCGAGCGAATGCCCTAGCTCGCTGAACTATGAGA